TGTGTGTGTGAGGCGGTGGGGTAATTCCTCAGAGCTCCAGACCCCACCCTGAATCTGTCTATTTCAAAACCACAGCTGAGTCCGAAGGCCCTGGACCTAGGCACCAGAGACTCCTACCCGGGGTGGCCTTGGGGGCTCCTAGGGTACCCACTGACCCCAGTGCCTTTGCACATTGCACATGCATCCACCTCACCCCCTCGCCCGCCTCAAGCACCCGCCCCACACCCCGCCAGCTCCTCTTGGCCAAAAGCCTTCTTATGCTTCAAGGGCCACTTCAAATGCCACCGTCACCGCCATTTCCCGTGCCGCCACTCTGATTCCTGGCGGAATGATGTCTGAATCTCTCTGGGGATGGCTACTGCTTTATTTCTCCGGGGTGAGCCGTTTATCTCCCTGTTCTATCTCTCTGGGCTGTGAATGGCCAGTGTGTGTGGGGGCGTCCGTGGGAAGAATGCACAGAGCCCCAGGGGACCCAGGGGCCCGTGGACGGGAGGGGAGGGGAGGGAAGGGGAGGGGAGTAAAGGCCGAGCTCAGGTCCCCCCTCCTTGGTCCCCCCCACCCCCTGCCCGGCTCACACAACTTGGGAAGATGCATCTGTGCCTTCAATCCTCCACCAGGCCCCAGGCAGGCCCTGCGGGGCCCAGCCAGCCGTTCCCAGACGCACGGCGCACGCGCATCCCTAGGCCCCGGAAAGGCTTCATGTTCCTTCTCTCTGTCTCCTCACTTAGTCACCGAGGGAGCTTTGCAAACCCAGATCACAGCAGCCCACAGCCCTCCGTGGCTGCCGGTACAGACTTCCTTCCCTGTGGTTTGGCCATGCTAGTCACTGGCAACCCCTGGATCATGCCAAACTCAGTCACCACAGGACCTTTATACTTGCTATGCCCTCTCCATGGCTTTCTTACCCACGCCCCCACCAGCTTGGCCTGGCTGGCTTCTTCTTATACTATAGGTCCCTGCTTGGACACCGTGTCCTACTCAGTGTCAGATTGTTCCGACTGAACTGGCTTCACATGAGGAGCCTCAGATCTCAGCCTCCTGAGTGGCTAGGATTACAAGTGGGAGCCTGAATGCAGACTCACAGGGTATCTTAAGATGAAGGGATCTGAGAGGTGGCAGGCCTCGCTCTCTCTCTCTCTCTCTCACACACACACACACACACACACACATGACACACACACACAGGACAGGAACTTCCTCCTTCCTGAAAGTGAAGGACACGGAAAAGACTCAGCGATTGAGCCCCCTGGGTATCCCCGGCCCACAGCCTGTCTGTCATCCTGCCGCCTTCCCACCCCTGGCCACCAAACCCAGTCTGTGAAGAAGGATAGAAGGAGATCCCCCCCCCCCCCCGTACGCCACCAATCTGCCCTCTGCCCCCCCCAAGCCAGTGCCTGACTCAGAACAGGTGGGCAGGGCCAAGATATCCAGTGACAGGCGCCCTGGAAGAAGTTACTGGAAGAGAAAGAAGCCGGTGCAGGTCATGCGAGGAAGATGCCGCGGGGGGTGCTGATCTCCAGCCCCCTGGGAGCCCAGACCGGGGAGGGCGGGCATCTAGGCTCTGGAGGAGGGTGAAGGCTGTGGGCAGGAGGGGCAGCCCCCACCACACGGGCAGGAGGGGCAGCCTCCACCACACGGGCCTCCTTCTACGGACCTCCTTCCACAGGCCTCCTCCTCAGTTCCTTCTGCCCCTGGGTCTCAGCCAGGTGCCCCTTCCTGGAGGGGAGCCACTGCCTGGCCACAGCCCGCACAGCCTCTGGACCTGCTCCGCCCGTCCATCCCAGCCCTGCCCGGCGGGGGACTCTGGGTGCGCCCCTGTTCCTGCTGCTGTGCAATGGCTTTCTCTTCCTCCTGCCCTGTCTCCTCCCGGCCCTGCAGAGCCTGGCGTTCCTGTCCCCCTGCTGTGCCCCGGGCCCCAGGCTGGGCACCTACAAGATGCCCAGGGAAGGATCATTTGAAGGAAGACCGGGAGTCCCCCGATGCTGAGGCCTGGAACTGAGGAGAGGCCGAGAAGAAAATCAAGGCAGATGGGGAGACCGAGGCTGGGCAGAGACAATGCCCTATGCCCCGAAGGCCTGGGAGACAGTGGGCCCAGGACGATGTCCTCGGTGGCGGGGGGGGGGGGGGACAGGCTCCCTAAACTTGGGGTGCTGGACAGCACTTCCAAGGACACTTGGCTTCTGCGCCTCCTCCTCCTCCATTGGATGGTGAGGGGGAAGAACCGGAGTCCCTAGATGGAATCGGACCCAGGAAAATCGGACCCAGTGGCGGAAAAGCCAAGATCGGGGCTTCTCCTGGCAACCCCAACATCGCCGGGCTGCTCCACGCCTCCCGGCGGCCTGGGCTCCCGGCTGAGAGGAAGCAGCACAGACTCAGACGCACAGCTGCAGAGCGGAGGACTCGGTGGAGGCGCACTAATTTGTAAATATCTTCATTTATATGTAAATGCAGAATCTCCCCCTGGCAGCTTTCCCTAAACTGGGATCTGCCTGGGGACCCCAGTAGAATGGTGTGTGTGGAGGGGGGCTCAGGAAGAAGGAGGAGACCCGGCCTCCACTCCCCAAAGCAACCCGCCGCAGGTGGCCTTCACCTTGGCCTTCCCTGCGTGGGGTCAAGGACTTGCTTGTCTGTGCTCTGTGAGATTCTCCTCAACCATGCTCTTTACGTCTTGGGGGGGGGCAGCCGCGCCCCTCAGCACCTGGCCACACTTTGGAGGAGGTGGGGGGGGCTCAGGGATCCTCAGCTCCTGATGGCCACCCTCCCTCAGAGGCTGTGTATGTGGGGGGGGTGCTGCCCTCCTGTGCTGAGGCCCCACCGACCTCCCATGAGCCCCTGACCCAGCCTGCCTCACAGATGGGGGAGGGGGAGGAGGGAGGGGAGGCCCTGGACCAAGGCCGCCTGGGGCGGATGTTGGCTGAGCTGGGATTCGAACCCCGGTCTTCCTGGAAGGCATGAGGGGGCACAGGGCAGGTTCTCAAAGGGGCCCTGGAGGCCCTGGACGTGTGGGGCCCAGACCCCTGCCCGGGCTCCAGCAGGCCCCAGCAGCCGCCTGAGAGTTTACTCGCCACAAATCTCCGCGGAGCCCAACATAGTCAAACATATCTATAGTCTCAGCCGGGGCCAAGGCAGGAAACTCTCGAGCTCAAACATTAGAAATATCTTGACTCAACACTAAAAACAAAGCTTCTCTCTGGCTCCCAGAATGATTATTTTCCTCCCCGATCTTGGTGGTACTGGGATTTGAATTCAGAGCCTTTGAGCTTGCTCGCTCCGCTGGCACTCTACCACTTGAACCACGCCTCCAGCTCAGCTTTTAGAGTTTGTGGAGTCCACAAACTTTCCTGCCCCAGGCTGGCTCCGAACCTCGATCGTATACCTCTCGGCCTTCTGAGTAGCTGGGATTACAGGCGTGACCACCAGCCAGCCGTTGGTGCCCGGCTCTGTAGGGAGGTCTCTGTCTTTGTCCTCTTGGCAGTATCTGGCCTGCCCTGGGTGAGCGTGAGTATTTTCGGACACCCCGATTCCTTGGGTACCGGAGTGATGACTGGGTGGACGAAGGCGGGCACACGGCCATTTCCACAGCACATATACACACACACACACACACACCCGCCCAGCAGCAGAGGCCCCCGGTGAGCGAGCAGCCAGCACAAAGTCAGAGAGGAAGAGCCCCCGCCCCCCCCACTCCTGCCCTCACTCCCCCCCCAGACCAGATTCCCTCTGTGGAAGCCTTAGCCCACCCCTGTCCACCCCCAAACCCACCCAGTGCCAGGCCTCAGGCTAGGGGAGTACGCTCGGGTCCGTGGTCCCTCATGGCGTGGAACACTGCCTTGCCCACCCCCCCCGCCCCGGGGGCTCAGGGTCCAGGACGACGGGGCTCTGCGTCCAGCCGCCCTGAGGAGCCCAGCGGGGGGGGGAGGGGTACCACGTGGCCCTCTGGCCGGAGGAGCACCCAGCAAAGCCCCACACGACGCGGGCAGACGCGCCCTTCTCCCGCCCTGCCAGCCACAGTGGCTCTCCAGCTGCCAGACAAAGCATTGGCTTGCGCGGTGTGAAAGTTTGCGTGTGTGTGTGTGTGTGTGTGTGCGTGTGCGTGTGTGTGCGTGTGTGTGTATGTGTGTGTGCGTGTGCGTGCGTGTGCGTGTGTGCATGTGCGTGTGCGTGTGTGCGTGTGCGTGTGTGCGTGTGCGTGTGTGTGTGTTCACATTCAGTGTGGGCATGGAACTACTCCATCCATCTCCAAATATGCAGTGAGACCCTACCCCACCCCCAATCTGGAGAAGGGGTTGGTCCTGGAAGGCACCCCAGCCCTTCCACTGAACCAGGATTGGTCGAAAGGAGGTGCCACATAGGTGGGCATGCCAGGTGGGGTTCTGAAGGCTGATGAGGAGTTTACCAGGTGCTCAAAGGGGAAAAGCCCTCTGGAAAGAGAGACCTGTGTGCAGCAGAGCGCCATGAGGCCCAGACTCCTGGGGAGAGTGGGGTCGTGGGCAGCCACCCACCTACAGCCCCACGGCAGGCCGGGGATGCGGCTGAGTTAGACTCGCTTCTGTGCCCTTCCAGAGAGCAGGTCAAGACGCCTCTGCCAGGCAGCACTGGCTCTGCCAGGCCTGTCTGTGTGCCTTAGGACACCATGCTCAACCTCTCTGGGTCTCTGTGTGCTTTGACGGGAAACCCAAGTTACAGGGTGCTCAGAAGAGCGGGGGAGGGGGGCTGCCCCCTGCCTGCCTCTCCCCTGCCACCCAGGGCTCGGCCCTCCACCGATGGGACCCCGAGCGGGCGCCGAGAGCCGAGCCTGGGCCCTGCTTTCCCGGCCCAGAGCTAGGCCTGGATGTGCAGGGCTGGAGAAGCAGCGTGGCCTGGGCCTCCCCTCGCCTCCCCCTCCCCTCCCCCTCGGTCCTCTCCCCCTCCCCCTCCCCTCCCCCTCGGTCCTCTCCCCCTCCCCCTCCCCTCCCCCTTGGTCCTCTCCCCCTCCCCCTCCCCCCTCCGCATCCCCTCACCTCACGGTGGACTGGTACACCAGGTCCTCCCTCTTGCGGTAATTCTCCATGTGCGAGTAGTTGGTGGAGAACATGGCATCAAACGTGAAGATCTTCTGCTTGATCGTGCCGCCATCGGTCACCTGCCGGGAGCACAGAGGTGGCCACGGGTGAGCAGGCGCGGGCACCCCCTCCGGAGGCGCCCGGCTCCCCTCCCCTTCCCTCATCCCCCCTCCCCGACCCAGGCAGGGAGCCAAGAGGGATGAGCCCTCCCACGGGGCAGGCCCAGGACCGGCCTGGGTCTGGGGCTCTCGGCGATCCATGGCCAGGCACCCCAGAATCTGTGCCCCAGAGGCCCAGGCCCTGAGGAGAAGAAAGACGGCGAGACAGCCGGGCGCCGGTGGCTCAGGCCTGTCATCCTAGCTACTCGGGAGGCTGAGATCTGAGGATCGCAGTCCAAAGCCAGCTGGGGCAGCAAAGACTAGGAGTGAGGCTCTTCATCTCGGATTAACCAGCAAAAAGCCAGAAGGGGAGCTGTGGCTCGAGCGGTAGAGCGCAAAAGCTCAGGAACAGCGTCCAGGCCCTGGGTTTAAGCCCCAGGCCCTCATTCCTCCCCAGCAGCTCACCTCTCCCAGTCCTGGCCTCCAGACGATCATCCAGTAACACACAGATCTGGGAGACCGAAGGCAGCGGCAGGCGCTGTGCCTGCCATTCTGCCTCCGGGAGGCACCCCAAATGGAGGGTCTTATAAGAACATCCAGGCGGGCCCAGAAAGCCGTGCTCAAGACCCTGCAAGGCAAGCCTGCGTCCAGCTGCTGCCAGAAGAGAGGACTCGGGAGGTGGGAGGGGATGTGGGAGGTGGGAGGGCACTGTCGGCCAGAGGAGGGGGTCATAGCGCCAAGAAAGGCAAGACACATCAGTGAAGTTCTGCTCCTTTCCCCTCAGGCCCAGAATGGCCCAGTGAGCTGCGAGGTGGGGCAGCCTGCCCCCTAGGGAATGACAGGGCGTCACAGAGGTGTCTCGGTGGTGCCACGTCTCCTCTGCCCTCTGCAGGGATTGCAGGAGTGAGTCCAGAAAGAACAGGCCCTTCTCGGGCAGAGGTCGGGTGAGGCAAAGGCCCTGGGGCAGGAGGAAAGAGCTGCTGGGGGTGGGGGGAAGGGAGGAGTGGACACAGAGGATGCTGGGAAGGAGATGGAGGATCATGGAGCGCCGCCAGGCAAAGGAGAGCAACTTCCCTGAAAGAGCCGATCACCGAGGGCCCCCTTGGCCTTTGGGGAGTCCAGCTACAGGGCTGGGGAGACCGAGGCAGGGGACAGGAAGAAGCAGTCCTATGAAGCCCCCAGCCACGCAAGTCCCAGGGACATGGAGGCTGGCACTGAAGGAGGTGATCGTCAACCTCACGCTTGGGGTACAGTTGTTAGGGCTGAGTGTCCCGCCCCCCCCTCCTGTCCCTGCCTGCTCTTGCCAGGCCCCCTCCCCCAGGCCCGGCCACCTCCTGCAGCCTCACCACCTCTCTGCTAATGAAGGTGTTACTCCACCAAGGGCGAGAGAGCCCGCGTTGTCACCGCTTCAATTATTTATCTGTTTACTCGGCTGTAGCTTTCGGCTTGTCTCAGCAACTCCATGACAGACGGAGCTCCCGGCCTCCCGTGCTCAGCCGGGCTCCACGTTCACAGCCCGCGGAGGAGGCTGCGGTGGAGGAGGCTGCGGTGGAGGAGGCGGGGGCGGAGGCGGACGAGGCTGGCGGCCCCACGCCTGGGAACCCATTCATCCAGGGGGACTCCCATGCGGGATGCTAAAAGGGGCTTCTCCACGGCAACGGAACTGGGGAACTGAGAGCTGCCCCCTGCCAGACACGGCTGTGACGCAGATTCAGCACCAGCACTTACTGAGCACCAAGGGTGTGCCGGGCATAGATCTCACAGGGCACAGATCGCTCCCTCCTGTGAAGAAGGAGGGGGGGTCTCCAACACCAAGGGTCATCGGGATGAAGGTGCATTCACAGAGGGCCAAGAGAGCCAAGTGTAAGACACCAGGAGAGTGGCCTAGCGGGGGCTGTGGCTCAGGCCTGTCCTCCTAGCTGCTCAGGAGGCTGAGATCTGAGGATGGAAGTTCAAAGGCAGACCGAACAGGAAAATCCAAGACACGCTTGGATTGACCAGCAAAGAAGCCAGAAGTGAGCTGTGGCTCAAGTGGTAGAGCGCTAGCCTTGAGCAGGAAAATGTTCAGGGAGCGTGCCCAGGCCCCGAGTTCAAGCCCCAGGTGGGCATGTGTGAGCACTGTCTGGTGATTTGGGGTCCACTCAGCTGGGGCCTCCCTCCCTCTTTTCTCCCTCCTTCTCTCCTCCCTCCCTCTTCCTTCTCTCCCTCCCTCCCTCCCTCCAGGTGCAGCTTTTATCTCCTTCTAAAACACAGCAGCCCTTATCGGCCCAATCTCAAATTTCACTCCATTTTTTTTATTACACAAAGGAGGAAAAAAAAATCTGTCAGTAAAACTGTCTCTTCGAATTTATTCTCTGGGACGGAGGGTTTTATCACTAGGAAAATACACCCACTCCCACATGCACGCCCCCCCACACCCCAGATAAAGCAGGCGAGAATTACCCGAGTCGTAAATCGCCGTGCTGGCTGAGGGCTGGGCCGGGGAGTTTCAAGGACAAGGCTGGTTTACGTTTCTCTCTCCCGGGGCGTCTCTGGGGTCCCGCTGCCAGGCAGAAGCATGGAGCTTTCTCCCAGAACCTACCCAGGGGACCAAGACCTAGCACTGCTGCCAGTCCCCCAGGGTGGCATGCTGGGGGGACAGGCCACCCTCTAGGCCCTGTCCCCAGCCCTCCGACCTCCCTCTTCCACTTCCTGTAAGACTCAGGACAGCTGAGGCTGGAGTTTGACAGGCTGCCTTCAGGCAGGTAAGGCTGCAGGGTAGAGGCCCCAAGACAGAGGCTGGGTAAGGTGGAGCTCCATCCAGGCTGTGGGCAGGTGCCAGGCTGAGAGCTGGGTCCTTCTAATTCTGGGAACCGGTTCCCCGGGCCCCGAGCACTACCAGACCCCCGGGGTGAGGTGGGCAGGGGCCACGGGCATAGTCATCGCCCACGCTGCCTGACCTGTGGTTGCTGGGTTCCTAGGAAGGCAGAGGCTGCAGCGATGGGTACTTGCTAAGAGTTACTGGGTGATCCTCACAGTACTCAGGGAGGCTGCGGGTGTGTCTTACAGAGGCAGGAAAGGAAGTGGGGACCCAGGAATTGCTGTTTCTCCCCAAACCAGCCCAAAGACATCAGAGCGGGTGCCCGGAGCGGGGAGCGTGGCAGGCAGGCAGGCAGACACGAGGAAGCTGCTACAGAAGAGATATCCGGTCCCCAAGCCACGCACTGGGGACCAAGGACACATGACATGCCCTCCTCTACTATCGTGGCTGTGCTCAGGCAGTGAAGATGAGGAGGATAAACACTCCAGCCCCCCTTTCCCCCCCCTCCATCTCACTCAATAAAGGAGGGCGGAGGGTGGAGGGCGGAGGGCGTGTGCCCAAGCCTGCCATTCCAGCTCTGCGGGAGGCCAAGGCAGGCTTGCCACCCCAGGCCAGCCCTGGTACCACGTGAAGATGCTCTCTGAAAACTGAAGTTATCTGCTGCGCACCTGTGACCCCTGTAAATGCGAGGCCCTGAGTTCAAACCTCAGCACTGCCAAATCAGAAGACACTCCACAAGATTCTGCCCAAGACAGCATCCTAGTTATTCATGGAGCTAGGACAGAAGGAGGAGGGAGAGAGAGAGAGAGACAGAGACAGAAAGAGAGACAGAGAGACAGAGAGAGACAGAGACACAGAGATAGAAACAGAGAGACAGACAGAGAGACAGAGATAGAGAGACACAGAGACAGAGACACTCAGAGACAGAGAGAGACAGAGACAGAGAGAGGTGCACGCCACCTCCCTTGTATCATGAGTCTGGGAACCATGAGCACACAGTCTGGCATCTAGGTGCTTAACATGGTACCTGACACACACAAATCACCAGCAAGACGAGGAACTATCCCGGGAGGCGTGCGCCACGGCTCCCATGTTGCAGATAAAGAAGCGAGGCCCAGAAAAGAGGTGAGTTAGAGCCCACTGCCAGCATCGCTGAGGAAAAGAGCAGGAGCCGGTCTCACTGCAGGTTGTAGGTGTGTGTGGGGGGGGGGGCGGGTCTGAGCCTGGAGGCACCTTCTGGGGCTTGGAATTGGGGTGAGGGGATCTCATAGCCTTTGACTCAGGTTCTACCTCTGCCTCGTTTTCTGTGAAAATGAGAAGCATTATTCCTTCCGGCCAGGCACTTGGGTGAGGGCCCCGTGTAAAAGAACACACACAGAGATTCATGTGGGCGCTCAGGGGGCCCCTTTACCCATGAAGGACGTGCCAGGCCCCCCAGGGATGCTCCCCAAATAAAAACATAAAAATCAACCCAGCCGGGCGCTGGTGGCTCACGCCTGCACTCCTAGCTACTCAGGAGGCTGAGATCTGAGGATCACAGCTCAAAGCCAGCCCCGGCAAAAAAGTCTGTGAAATTCTTTATCTCCAATTAACCATGAGAAAACCGGAAACGGCGCTGTGGCTCAAGTGATAGAGCTCTTGCCTTGAGCTGAAGAGCTGAGGGACAGCGCCCAGGCCCAGAGTTCAAGCCCCACAACCGACAAAAACCAACCAAACAAAAACCCAACCCTCAGCTCTGGGTTTTACATGTGCCATAGACTTTTATACTTTTCCTACATACAGGGACAGATCTATGATAACACTGCATCCCCACAATGAGGCACAAGCAAGAGTAGCAACAGTAAGATTCGCAACAGTAACCAGAAGGAAACAGAATGATTACCACAATGTACACTCAACTAGGTCCCAGGATCTAGTTGAATATGGCTGTCACCAAGCTGGGTGAATTTTTTAAGTGGAGCCACTGTGGAATGACCAAGAAACTTAGTCCAGTCAAATAGTGTGTGGGTCCCTCCCCCCTCCCCAGCCTTCCCCTCCCTCCATGGCCTGTCCACCTTGTTTTAGTTTGGAAAACCAAATAAGTCTCCAACTTCAGCCACCACTGCCATGTCCCTCAGTGTTGTCATCCAAAAAACTAAAAGGTGGCGCGTGTGTGTGTGTGTGTGTGTGTGTGTGTATGTGT